ATAATTAAATGCATATATATCTTCTTTTGTTTTCGTGAGTAATTCATTTATTCCATCACGTTTCGTGTCATAAATTTTTTCTATCCTTTCCTCTTTCTCTCATTCTTTTCTTCTATCTTTTTTCCTCTCACTACTACACCCCCTTTCCCTACCCCAGAAAGAAGAAAGATGCGCAAGGTGTTGGCATCATGTTGGTGGCGTCAGCCAGGCATCAAACGTACGGATACGTGCCAGTCGTGGCATTAATTCTTGTCTGAATAGACTCACGATACATATATACATATATACATATACATATATATGCATACATGCATACATGCATGCATACATACTCATATATGTATGGCTTGCACGTAACCGTACAGTTGCACTCTGGATAACAGCCGTATAATGTATTCAGACTACGTGATTGGCCGTTCTTATGGAGAAAGATAGAAAGAGAAAAATAGAGAGAAAGAGAAAGAGAGAAAAAGAGAGAAAGACGTGGTTTGCGATACGACCTTGTGAATGCCTCTTTAATGAAACAGAAAGAGAAAAAGAGAGAGAGAGAGATTGAAGTGGTGGGGGAAATAGGGAAAAGGAATGAACAGAGAGAGAATATGAGAGAGAGTGTGTGTGTGAGAGAGAGAGAGATAGCATGATTGCTAGCAGATTCCCTCAAAGATGCTTTTTACAGTCCCGCCAAAGGATCGATTTTTGTTGGAGACCTCATCTTCGTCATTTTCCTTCTTCTTTTGTTGCTTCTTCTTCTTCTCCACCTTCTCCTGCAATCCCCTACCCCCGTACCACCCCTACCAACTACCACCCCTACCTACCCCTGTCCCTCTTTTTTTATCGTCGTAGTCGTCATAGTCGTCGCCATCGTCCACTCGATGAACGAGAAACCTTTGGAATATTCATGCATTGGAAATTAGCGTGAAACCGAGTAAAGGAAAAGGAGGAAGAGGAGAAGGAGGAGGAGGAGGAGGAGGGGGTGGAAGAGAAACCCTTTCCACCATAGACTGTGGGGGTGGAATACCTACGATCTCGATTTTTCTTCGACGTTTTACTACTCGGTCTTTTTGTTCCTTTTTTTCTTTTTTTCATTTCCCGTTACTCAACCCAATCCAAGCCCCCATTTTTCTTCCACTCATTTTCTTCTCTTTTGTTTTCTTTTTTGGGTTGTTTTTCTTTTTTTTTTTTTTACTTTACTTTTTTTTCTTTTTTTTTTTTCTTTGTATTATTTTTCAATTTCATCTCGTCGTCGCGAGTCTACACTGGGCTGTTGTTGCTGATGGTGGTGGTGGTGGTGGTAGTTCAACCATCATTCTTTTCTCGGTGGAATTTTATTAGAATAAAATTCATGGACACGACGAGAGAAAGAGAGAGAGAGAGAGAGAGAGAGAGAGAGAGAGAGAGA